AAGCTTAGCAAAGCACAGGGACTGCGGTTCAATCCCCCAGCACCACATGCCAGCCAGCCCTGCCCCCTGGTGGGCTGAGCTGGCCACACACACACACCACTCTCTCTCTCTCTCTCTCAAATAAAAACAAAAAATAAATAAATAATTAAAAAAAATTTCCTATCAACTTGTTTTGATTTTTTTGTCTTTGTTCCTTTTTCTTTAAAATAAAATTAAAAGAAAATAAAAAATTTTGTTTTCCATCTACTCTGGGTCATTTTTCCCCCTCATTTCACTACAGACTGGAATTTTATAAAACATCTGCTCTAGGAAGGAGCACACACACTGACTTGGTGAGCCACAGAATTCCAACTAACCACCTGGTTTTGGATAGGGAAAGCCAGGCAGAAGTTTCCAGAGGTCACCCAAGGCCTGGGGAACCCAAGAGCTCAGACAGGAAGACACCCAAGAGCTGGGTCCCTTCCACCCACCCCCTTGAAGCCTGAGCCCCCCTCCCAGGTCTTTACCTGACTGTTGATGTTGTTGTTCTCCCTGAATATCAGAATGCCCCCAAGGCAGGCAGCCAAGAAGGAGTGAGCCTGGTAGGTCTGGCCTTGCAGGTGGGCCTGCAGGGCGCAGAGACCCTTGTAGGCAAACACGAAGCGGGCCAGGTTCCAGGAGTGGGTGTAGGTGGCCTGCAGAATGGCCCGCAGCTTCTCCCGGAGGCTGCAGACACAGGGAGTCCATGAGGGAGGCTGACAGCTGAAATGCACTAGGCTAGCAGTTCAGGGCCCCTACCCACCTCCTGAGTGGTACTCAGCTCCCATGGGTAGGCCACCCTCTGCACCCCACCCTTATCCTGCTTGGCTTTTCCTGACCAGTTCATATCGCAGCCTGAAACTCTGAAGCCCCCTCCCCTGTGCCAACCGCAGGAGCCCCAGGAGAGTAAGCAGTATCTAGAGCCAGTGTGTTCATCCTCCAGGCCCAGAACAGCCCCTGGCTTGTGGTAGGTGTTCAATAAATCTTCATGAGTGAACATGTGAAGAAAGGAACGAGGGAGGGAGTGTCACTACATGGTGGATCTGGGGAGGAAATTCTGAGAAAAAAAAAAAACAACCCATCTGCTTGGTGCCCTGTTGGGACCTAGGACATAATCAGAAAAACAAGTGTCAAATTCTGACGGGAGCTAGGATCTGAAGGCTAAGGAAGTCAGTGAGGTCTAGAGAGGAGGATCATTCCATCCCACAGGGCTCTGCATATGTGAAGGGCAGAGAGGGGTGTAGAGCAGAGAATGTGTGGAGAGCAAGATGGGGCAAGGCTGGAGAAATGTCAACTTCTATCTTCAGAGAGGTGACTGCATAAGTAGAGGAGATTTTTTTTTTAAGCACTGAGGATTGAACTCAGGGCTTTTGCACTGAGCTAAATCTCCCATCTCCAACCTTTTTGTTTTGAGGCAGAGTCTTCCTAACTTGTAAATTGCCCAGGATAGCGCTCAACGTGTGACCCTCTTGCCTCAGCCCTCCAGAGAGCTGGAATAACAGGTTGGGCCACTTCGCTCAGCTTGATTTATCTTTTAAGAATCACTAGGGGGCAGCAAAGAGAGAGAAATCGGAGCAGAGCACTAGCCTCACAATCCCAGACCGGCCCCCTCAAGGTGAGGTGAAGGAGGACCGGACATGAATAAGTGGGTGGGATGGCCGGCCCTCTCCTCCCTGGCCATCAGCCAGGGCTGGGTCACTGTTGACCACATGAACAGGACTTGCCTCCGAAGCTGGGATTACAGGTGTGCACCACCACATCCAGTCTCAGCGGCCTTCTCTGCGGCCCGGGGGTGGGGTGGGGGGTGGGGGTGACGGACCAGAAGGCAGACCTGGGGATTGAACCCGGCCCCTCTGCCTGCTTGCAGGCACTTTAATCCGCTGAGCTATTTGGGCTGGCCCCGGCAGCTATTTGGGCTGGCCCATTAATCAAATATGCAAACACATAAAACAAAATAAACGCCAGGCAAGTAATGGGATGTCCCTGCGCAAAATTTTTTTTTTTCAGATTCACTGAAAAAAAGTTCAGGCTGGCCTTGAACTTGGGGCTATCTTCTCACCTCAGCCTCTCAAGCACTGGGATTATAGGTGTGCACCGCCATACCCAGTGAACGATTTTATGATTTCCTGTTTCACTTAAAAAGTCCAAATTCTCTCTGGCCTAAAGCTGAGTGAGCCACGCCAGGTTGCTGCTGTAGCCACCTTCTCTGACCTCTCAGGGCCGCGTACACTGAGCTCCAGCTTTAGCAAACTCACCTGGCAAAGGCCCGCCTCAGGGCTTTTGCTCTGGCCATGTCAGAGATTACCAGCTGACACCTCCCTCCTTCAAGCCTTCAATTTAAAAAAAAATTTTTTTTAATCTTTTTGAGGCAGGGTCTCACTGTGCAGTTCAGGCTGTGAGGAACTCCTGGTGATCCTTGTGCCTCAGGCTCCTGAGTGCCACATCTAGCTTCAAGTCTTGATTTTACTGTCACTTTCTCATGGAGGCCTCGAGGATTTAATTTCACAAATGGCGCCCCTCTCCAGAACTCTTGGTCCCCTCTTCTTTTTTTTTCTTTTTTTAAAAACATTTATTTAGTGTGTGTGTGTGTGTGTGTGTGTGTGTGGCCAGCTCAGCCCACCAGGGGGCGGGGCTGGCTGGCATGTGGTGCTGGGGGATTGAACCGCGGTCCTTTGTTCTAAGTAGGTGCTGTTCTAAGTAGGTGCTTTAGACCACTGAGCCATCTCACCAGCCCAGTCACTTTCTCTTTCTTTCTTTCTTTTTTTTTTTCCAGAACCAGGGATTGAACTCAGGCCCTTGTGCTTGCCAGGGAGGCGCTTATTCCACTGAGCCATCTCCCCGGTCCCCTCCCCTCTTCCTCTTGCCCTGCCCCAAGTTTTCTTTCCCGTTCCTTGCATGGCTTTCTGACACACTGCTACAGTTTGGGTCCGGAATGTACCCCAAAGCTCTTGTGTGGAAGGCCGATTCCAAGGTGTTGCCTCCAGAGGTGCTGAAAACTACATGACGAGCCGACTTGAGAACTAGGGCCAGGTCTTGAAGGACATATTGGATCCCTGGCCCCTTCTTTTCTGTCTTTTTTTGGTGGCGCTGAAGATGGACCCAAGGCCTCCTGTGGGCCATGATTTGCTTGCTACAAGCCCACAGCAATGGGGCAACCATGGGCTAAAATTAGGAAATTGTGAGCTAACATCTTCTTTTAAACTTTCTCAGGTGTCCTGTCACCATAACCGGAAGTGGACTAACACACATTCTGCCTGCTTTCTTTGTTATGTCCACTTGCTGCCAGGGTAGTTCTAAGAACTAGACAGTAAGCTCTAGGGGGGCAGGGATCAATTTACTTTTTTTTTTTTTTTTTTTTTTTTTTTTGCTGGAACCGGGGATTGAACTCAGGCCCTTGCGCTTGCCAGAGAAGCACTTACACCACTGAGCCATCTTCCTGGCCCCTCCATTTACTTTTTTCCTTTCTTAAAAAAATTTTAGGGGGCTGGTGAGATGACTCAGTGGTCTAAAGCACCTACTTAGAACAAGCTTAGCAAAGCACAGGGACCACGGTTCAATCCCCCAGCACCACATGCCAGCCAGCCCCGCCCCTTGGTGGGCTGAGCTGGCCACACACACACATACATAAATAAATAAATAAAATAAAATTTTAAAAAAGGGGGCTGGTGAAATGGCTCAGTGGTCTAAAGCACTTAGAAGAAGCTTAGCAAAGCACAGGGACCACGGTTCAATCCCCCAGCACCACATGCCAGCCAGCCCCGCCCCCTGGTGGGCTGAGCTGGCCACACACACACACAC